CTCGAAGGTTTATGCATTACTTAAAAGCCGTGAACGCGACGAAAAAATTTTACTCATCATAAAACGATAAATAGTTTGTCAAATTTTTATTCATAAAAATGCAGTTTCAACTGCTTTTTATTTTATAAAATCCGTCTTCTTGCGCCACCAGAGGGCCTTTTAAACAACAGGTAGTCTTAGCGTTGGTCAGTAGTAGTCCAAATTCAATACAAACGTTTGTTTCTTGAAAATTTGATCATGATTTAAATACAGTATTTACTTTTATTATTACCGATATGTCATCGAAAAGAAAACGTGTTGTATTATCATTAAAAGACAAAGTATTTGTTTCAATTATCCGAATTTTTCTTTATCTGGACTACCTTCATCCCCAATTAGTACGGATAATCAAGGTTCTACTGTATATATATATATATATATATACACACACACACCAGGTAAAACTGCTGGCTGACTGAGTGCTGTTGTGGAGTTGTACTTAGGCTATGGGTGTAGGAGTTGTCCCCCAGCCAGTGCTGTGATTAACTGTGTAAGGTTATATATATCTAAATTTAAATACATCTGGAAACAAAGACTAGCTCTGGGTCTGGGTGGTGCAACTGGCAAGTGCACCACATGGCAAACGGAGGTTGCAGGTTCAAGTCCTGCCTCAGGTCAGTTCTTTTCTTCCAGATGATTCTAAATTATTTATTAAATTATTAAAATTATAAGTATTAACTTAGTTATGAGATGGGTACCATCTCATAACTAAGTTAATACTATCTATTATATATCTATTATACTATCTATATATATAATATCTATTAGCAAATTACTTAGTATTAATCATTAAATTTGCAGAGTTATAGCCTGATTATTTAAGGCAATCATTTGGTTATGTTTCTGATAAATCACAATTGACATTTTAAATATTTTCCAAAACTTTTGAAGTTCAAACAAATTTTTTTTTGTGTCAATGGAGAAGGCTTATGCCCTGTAACCTCCCTTGTATCCACTGAATATATATATATATATGCTGGATATTTCAATTATAAATCATTAATATGATAAAATATAGTTCAAAATCAAATAAATATGAATTAAAATGCTCTGAAATATGCAAGGCTTGATTCAAAAAACATTTAAATTTAAATATAGAAATAGATAAATAAAAAGTCATGCCAAAATTGTATAGCTTCTTGATACCAAGAAGCTATTTAAATTTAAACTGATCTTATTATCATTTTCAACAAAATAAAAATATTATTATATAATTAAGAGATTAATACTGTATAACTAAATTTTAAGTTTTTTAATGTTGTAACATTAACATACAAACCAAACTTTTCTTTCAATCCAATTGGCATACAGCCACAATCTGCAGTATTCAGAGTGCAAGTTCCAATGTTATTTTTAAAAATCAGCAATCTTAAGTATATATAATTGATTTCTTCTTTAATAATGCCAATTTATATAACTTTTATATTTACAGAGTTAATTTATTTTCATTAAAAAATTTTTTTATTCCAACAAATTTGAATACAAGTACTGCTTATATAATATTTATTAGAAATAAACTAATGCTGTTAAAAAAAAACTATATTTACCTAAAAATAAATTACAAAAAAACTATATAAATAGATATAGTAGCATTAAACAAACTTCTTTATGCTTAGTTATTTTGAAAAATTTATACTTTATCAAATAAAATAATAAGAAAAAACTACTTTTAGTTGGAACAAGAATATCACTATTAAAAATTTAAGCAATGTTAAATTAAAGTTTTCATTAATTTTGAATATTGAATAAAAAATTCATAAATTTTTTAGCTTTTCTAACTAATGATATTCTATTCTAAAAAAAGGCAACAGATAAAAAATATGTAACGTCCCTGAAAACATCCTTCAATAAAGTTTATCATCACAAACTAATTTAAGTGATTAGTTATCTGAAAAAAATCTGTTCATATTATTTATAAATATCCAAGTGATACATATGTACTTTAATGAAAAATATGCATATTATAATCAAGTAATCAAAACAAAAGATATTAAAATTCTTATGTTAAATAAACCTTATTTTCAGATAATCCATTCTTATAATTAACACATTCACCATCTAATGTTTATTAGTTTGTGTAGTTTCAATTACAGAGTTCAAATTTTACTCTCTAAATAATTTTACTGATTAAATCTCTAATAAATTAAGAAAGTAGAACCTGTTATGATAGAATTTTGGAAAGACTTCCTCTGTTCTGCTCTAGTTCTTCCACAAGTTTTGTATTTTCAACATAAAAATGAATCTATTTCTCTCTATTACAAATATGGATAATGCGGCTCTTTTTGAGTTACACGTGTCTTTTGCCGAAAGTGTTAATTTCTGCTTTTTATTATTTTTTTCAATTTTATTTCCACAATTTTGTGAAAATGTTTATTAAAAAAATTCAATATTTGTTTTATATTATATTTATATTATATAATAAAATCGCAATACAGAATAAAAAAGTAC